TATTTTTAAACGTAGTTCTTTTTTATTGCGTTAATCGCATAAATGAAATATCATCAATAACAATCATAGTATTCCAAAACGATTATCTTATTGTTGGGTCGATAATGACCTTAATATAATTATTAGTTGTCTTTTTTGTTCACAAAATTAAGTCGCCTTAATACCATCAATGAAATATGCAACACTTAACAAATTATTCGTTGCAAAATTTTGTTTCTCTTTAAGTTAGTTAAAGCCACTATCTTTTGGTTTGTTCCTCTTTCTTGCGAACGTTCGTAATCCCGACCCAAGATATACAGCGCTTTCATTGATTTCAATTTGCCCGGCTTGCGACGCCATATTTCAGTTTCTGACCGACGCACAATTTACAAGCCATAGCATGTGTCTCCAACTCTCCGGCCCCAACCATCCATCCAAGCAGCCATCTCTCTCACAGGCCGTATCTCCCTCTCTTTCGTGTGTTCTGGCGGAGCGAAGAGAGAAGGAGAGGGCGGAGGACACTGGACAGACAGCTTAATTGATGAACAAAGGCGTTTGGGCCAAAAGTTTTGCGTTTGTTTAAGAGATAGCCAAGCGATGTCTGGGTCCTGGACAGTCTTTTTGCCGAGTTCGAAGTCGAGGACTTGCAGAAGTCGTACAAAATATTTAACACCCGCTGAGCGTATTTATGGGAGAATGAACCTGTGTGTCCTACTCTCCTCGTCATCAATTCCAATCCCATTCCCACTCCCGGTCCTCCGCCTCGATCCCCACCTCCTCCACGTCGTCCATGACTCCACCATTTTGTCTTAGACGGGCCAATATGAATCCACAGGAGCGCTATGAGGGCTTCCGAAGATGAATCTGTTGGTGAAGAGTAAGCAAAGTTATCAGAAATTATAATATGCATGGAATCGCAAACTGATAAATCAGTTTATTGATTCATCTCGGACTAACAATACTTGTTTTCTCCCAAAAATCGTAAATTTTATAATGTAACAAAATTAATTAATGATACTATTCGGCTACTGTTTATATTTACTTCCAAAATTGAAATAATCATGATCTCATGAATTTCATTTGCTCTTGCTCAGAAAAATTTATCTATATTTTTATTGACTTAATATTGACTTGCAAAAAAAAATGTCTTACTCCAAAAAAAAAGAAAATGAAAATCTACTACTTTGTATTTTGACTCTGTTAAAAGCGTTTCCTGGATAATAGACAGTTTATTTTATTTATTTCGTATCAAACTCTTTTGGATAACAATAAAAAAAAAATAGATATAAAAATTTGACATGCTATCTTCTTAACTTTTAAGCTTAAAGTAATGTTGAAGTTGGTTAAAGTTGTTGTTTTGAAGCAACATTTTAATTCACTCTTCAATACAACTCTCTGGACAAATTGAACCGCTACTGATCTTCGGAATCCTTGTAGACTTACCTCCTCCTCCATATTCCATCTGTATGGCCACATAGATATGTGTGTCTCTCTCGCTCCCACTCCTGCAAGATTTGCAATTCCAATTGGCGCGACGTCTGCTCCCGCTCCTTCTCATCTCCTCCTTCTCTTCTCCTGCACCTGCTCCTTCTGCTGCTGCCGATGATTAGTTGTTGGCTCTGCGTCCTCCACTCTTCCCATCTCGTTCTCTCTCTCTTGCTCTGCGGACAAGCAGCCCTCTCTGTCTAGTCTGCAGTGGGGCTTTCTATGGCCACGTTTAACCTTCTTTTTATTGCACACACGATGCAATTATTTGTTTTATTAACTGTTGAACATGTTTTCTGCGCGCACAGTGCTCCATGTTTTCCCACTGATATATAAGTCGCTTCCAAATTGTAAATTGCAAATTTTATTAATTTCTGTCCATGGGAACTTGTTTCCCTGCAATTGAACTCCGTGTGGGTTCTTCCCGATTTGATTTGGGCTCGGTTCGCCTCTGCAGAGATGGGTAATTTTCAGCATCTAGTCCTGTTTGTTGGGTGGTAATTAACCATTTAAGGCTATGTACTTGGTAGGAATTATATGGTATTTTTTCGGTCAAGGAACTATCATAGTTTACTCAGAAGAAGTTGTTGAAAATCTATAAAAGCATGCAAAAGAAAACATACTATATCTGAAACACTTTCTCCTACAAATATTCCTCTGAAATACATGTTATGTGTCGCTCAGCCAGGGGAAATGGCAATTTTTCATTGGCTAAGCCTGAAACAGGTTGATTTGCATAAAATGCAAAGCCAAAAAATTAATTTCCCACCCACTTCGCAAACAAAGGTGGCAAACAGGACGGGGCGGGGGAAGTGAAGTCAACAATATAACATGAACTCCGCTCAAAGATTAATCAGCTAAGCAAACATAATAAAAGGCTAAGCGCTATTTTGCGACATTTTGATAAATATCGAATCAAAATAGTGCGTACGAATAATTAATCATGATTAAAGGGGGTCAGAGGCGTGGGCGGGGGTATTAGCCAGTGTTAATGATCGATAAATGAGACAGCGGGGTAGAACGGAGAACAAGTGCTCGCCATCACACGCCATTCTCGAATTAGTGGCCAGCAGAAACAAGGAGTCACCCCCCTGCACTTACCCCCATCCCAATCACCCCCATGATGACTTAAACACTCTTGCCAAAAAAATGTCACATAATCCTGGAAATCAAATGCAAATGTAATAAATCCGTGTGAAAGGGGGTGCCGTCGGGCCACCCCCCGATTTGTATTTATTTACTTGTGACTTTCGACGCATAATTTAAGGTCCTGCCAGATGAAATCCACCCGAGGTCAATTTATATTCAAAGCCTTCCCCCGAGTTCCGATGTGTGGGAACTTAAACATGCGGTTTCTTGTGAAGTCAGTTGGCTCAAACCCTTTAACACTTTTTCTGTTTTTTTTTTTTTTTTTAATTTTAAGGAGGTTTTTAGCAAGTCCTGAATGGCACAATTTTTCGGAAACATTGCCACTTATTGTTAAACAAATATCTTGGCACCCATACCATACATGTTTTAGGTTGTCATTTGTGCCAGGTGAATTAAATGCGAGAGACAAATTAACTTAAAGTTGTTTAAGTGTTAACTAGAAACCAAACTTATTCACTCTTTTTTCCCCTCTTTTGATTATTGATTATTGATAGTGAAATTTAATTAAAATCAGTGTTAGCAACGATTATTCACATAGGCCCCAAGGGTGACATTCGATGGCGTTTAGCACGTGCAGCCGCCGCGAGCAAGGCCACTGGGTGGGTGGCCCTTCGTGGAGGGGGTGGCGGCCAGCCGCTCTGCCCGCAACCCTTAATTGCGCGTGTAATCAGTTGGCCAAGGGGGTTGGCAACCGGCAGGGGAGAGCGGAAAATCGGGGGAGGCGGCCTAATGCCCTGTAAATGCAACTAAACAGCTTGTGTAACGCTTCGCTCTGCGGCAAAGAGTGTCGGGGGATTTGACTCCGAAGCGATGTAAAGTGGCATTGATGATGTGATTCCGATTTGATTAGATTGCATTGCATTAGCGGAAGATTGATGGGGCATATGTCAAATAAAGTGTTAAATTAAAAGGCGTGTAAGCAGATTTGTTTTATTTTTGGCATCCACATTCATTGTAAAAAGCAATTTGCTGCGGCGATTCGGCTTTGTCAGCTTTGTTGACTTAAGGTATTTAATGATTTTTATATACACAAAGAAAATTATTTAAATCAACCATTTTTGGAATAAATAAATTGTTTTCAGAGCTTCTAGAGCTTATTTGGAATTACTAAAAAAAAGTATTGTACTTATTGCACTGAATTAGATATATGTTAATTTTTTTAAATCACAATACCATAGTATTGTATACTGCCTTGAATTTCTAAATTAAATATTTTTTAAAATTTATCCAATCGTTCAAATGACAGCTACTACATATAGTAAACCGATTCTTACAAAAAATGATTGGGAAGTTTAAAATAATGAAAAACCAAGTAAATGTTTAATAGGCTTAAACACCGAATAACACCGAAGCTAAGTTTTGTATAACCCTACTAGGCAAATAACTTATATACACAAAGGCAGCTTTATGGGAGCTACAAATATGATCTCGTCGTTCGATTTTTATAAAATGTAGTCTAAAAAAAAGAGTAATTTAAAATTAAGTCGATCAATGATGATGATCAACCCCCAAGGGTATTAAAAGATATGTTACTTATAGGGTCGTTTCAAAAGTATTAGTATCTAACTTAAAATTGAATTCATAAGTCCCTTTAACCCAGGGCATTAAAACTTTTACTAATAAAGAAAGCATTTTTAATCTAGTCTAATATTCAACTTAAAAATCCATCGTCATCTAAAATGTATTTATCATTAATAAAATAAAATTTTTTTTGAGTAAAAACATGAACACATGAACACGTACACTCGCGGCTCGAGCAGATAAAAAAAAAGAATGTACACGTAATTGGTAATTTACTTTAACAAAAAAATAAATAACATCAACAAGCTTTTTTCAATATTCAAACTTAAACTACTGATTTCACAAAAAACCCTTCTACTAAACGGTGCTAAAAACAAAAATTGCGTATTTTTTTGCATAATACTTTTGAACAAAGATTCGAATGCAAAAGTTAGCTTGCTCCATTACAATTGCAATCTAAGAAATATTTTCAAAATATTTATAAAAAGAAACGGTTATGGGAAATTCGATCAAAAAACTAACTTTATTTCGGGATGCTCTTAAATGGGTTTGATTCGCAACAACACGGTTATCAAAAATAAAATCCACAAAAATGTTGGTATTATAGTTTTTGTAAAACAAACATGTTTTAAAAGTTATTCAATAGAAAAGGTAGTCAACGAGCCACCTTAACCTTGTAATTGTTACCATAAACTTGAGGATAATTCAGACCACAACAAATTTTTAACGATATGTATTTAATTATAGCATATTTGGGTTGCGTCATAGCTAAAAGATTATCAGAAACTCAAACCATAAAGAAAAATGTTCAGTTTCTCAGTCTGGTGGCACCGTTTTTATCGTTGCATGATAGTATCGGAGAATCATCGCTTTCTGTTCCATCCCTACATTCAAATCTCGCTAAAAATTGGCAATTCTCTTCAAAAACTAAACAATAACTGCCGTAATGCAGCGCGTAAGTGCTTGACAATTGCCAGGCGTGTTGACAACACTTCAGTTAAACAAAATTAATTGTTGCAGGGCATCGACTCCTTCTTTAAACGGCTGCCTGCAAAGCCAAAAACGGCAGAGGATGAAAATGGAGAGACGCCGTTGAAGGCGCCAAAACGCAGGAAGGCCTTGATCATTTCCAGCGACGAGGATGAGGTGGCTGCCAGTCCACCAGAGCCCAAGAAACGCAAGTCGTCCAAGGCGACGTCCGGTGATGATGATGTTGTGCCGGCCACACCGGAATCGAATGGCAAAAAAACCAGAAATGACCAGAAGCCGGCGCTTTCCAAGCTCAAGAAGCACGTGGATCCATCTGAGCTCTTTGGTGGGGAGACCAAGCGTGTCGTTGTTCCCAAACCGAAAACAAAGGCGGTTCTTGAGTTTGAAAACGAGGACATAGACCGGAGTTTGATGGAAGTCGATATGGAGGAGAGCATCAGGGAGGTAGAGCCAGTGGAAAAGACGTCACCTCCCTCTCCCAAAAGAGCGAAGACAAGCAGTCAGGAGCCCGCAAAAACCAAGTCCACAAAGTCCAAAGCCTCCACTCCGCGTGCGAAGAAGGAAAAGCCTTCGGCAGACCTGGAATCGAGTGTTCTGACCGACGAAGAGCGTCACGAGCGGAAACGCATGACCGCCGTGCTCTACCAGAAGTACAAGAACCGCAGTAGCTGCTTGAATCCCGGCAGCAAGGAAATCCCTAAGGGCTCGCCCAACTGCCTGAGTGGACTGACCTTCGTGGTCACCGGAGTCCTGGAATCCATGGAGCGCGAGGAGGCGGAGGCAGTGATCAAGGAGTACGGCGGCAGGGTGATGACCGTGGTGGGAAAGAAACTGAAGTATTTGGTCGTGGGCGAAGAAGCTGGTCCAAAGAAATTGGCTGTAGCCGAGGAACTCAATATACCAGTACTCAGCGAGGACGGACTCTTCGACCTAATCCGGGAGAAGTCCGGGCAAAACAAGCAGGTAAAGGAGGAGAAAAAGAGTCCCAAGCAGGAGCATAGCTCCAAGGAAAGGGAGAAAAATGGGGTTAACGCTTTAACCGAGGTCCGAGTTAAGGAGGAGAAACATAAAATCAAAGAGGAGCACTCTTCCCCTAAGACGAAAGTCAAAGAGGAGCACACTTCCTCTAAGGTAAAGAAGGAAAATAAGGAAGAAGTGCCAGCTGTTACCCTGAAGATAAAGAAGGAACCCAGCTCGCAGGAACAAAAGGATCCGGTCGCAAGGCCCACAGAACCCAAGACCCAGGATGTGGTCAGCATGGCCTGGGTGGACAAGCACAAGCCCACAAACATCAAGGAAATCGTTGGCCAGGCAGGACCCGCTAGTAACGTGACCAAGTAAGTGAATACATCACATATACTCGTATATTAATAGGAATCTCTGTTCTTTGCCGAGGGCTACTATACAGACCTCTTCTTCTTTTAGGTTAGGAAGACCTCAAACATTAATACATGGGTTCCCGAATACTCTTTACAGAAGTTCAATTCTAAATATTCTAATAACCCTTTTTTTAAATTCTTGAATTCTTTTATTTGTTCAACAATTTGATTTTAACTGAACCCATTTTTACAGACTGATGAACTGGTTGTCAAAGTGGTATGTTAACCATGACGGAAACAAAAAGCCTCAACGCCCCAACCCGTGGGCCAAGAACGATGACGGCAGTTTCTACAAGGCGGCTCTGCTGTCAGGACCGCCAGGAATCGGAAAGACTACGACGGCGACTCTAGTGGTGAAGGAGCTGGGCTTCGACGCGGTGGAGTTCAACGCCTCCGACACGCGCAGCAAACGCTTGCTCAAAGAGGAGGTCTCAACGCTTCTGAGCAACAAATCGCTATCCGGATACTTCAGCGGCCAGGGGCAGGCGGTCTCCAAGAAGCACGTGCTCATCATGGACGAGGTGGATGGCATGGCCGGGAACGAGGATCGTGGCGGAATGCAGGAGCTGATCGCCTTGATCAAGGACAGCTCCATTCCGATAATTTGCATGTGTAACGATCGCAACCATCCGAAGATTCGGTCCCTGGTCAACTACTGCTACGATCTGCGATTCCAGAGGCCGCGGCTCGAGCAGATCAAGGGTAAAATCATGAGCATCTGCTGCAAGGAGAAGGTCAAAATATCGCCTGCGAAAGTGGAGGAGATCATTGCGGCCACCAACAACGACATTCGGCAGTCCATCAATCACATTGCGCTGCTCAGCGCCAAGGAGGACAGCTCGCCTAAGTCAGGGTCCCATGTGGCCACCAAGGATCTTAAGCTGGGACCCTGGGAAGTGGTGCGCAAGGTGTTCACGGCCGACGAGCACAAGCATATGTCCCTCGCGGACAAGAGCGACCTGTTCTTCCACGACTACAGCCTGGCGCCGCTCTTCGTGCAGCAAAACTATCTCCAGGTCTCGCCACAAGGAAACAAGTAAGCAAGGGACTCACTTATGATTACTCTTTTGAAACCTTGTCGTGCAAATTCTATTTTCAGAAAGGATGTTTTGGCCAAGGTGGCTGCCACGGCGGACGCCCTCAGCTTGGGCGACTTGGTGGACAAGCGCATCCGCGCCAACTCCGCCTGGAGTCTGCTGCCAACACAGGCCATCTTCAGCTCTGTGCTGCCTGGCGAGCACATGTGCGGCCACTTCACCGGACAGATAAACTTCCCCGGATGGCTGGGCAAGAACTCAAAGTCGGGAAAACGGGCGAGACTTGCTCAGGAGCTGCACGACCACACCAGGGTCTGCACCTCGGGATCGCGACTGTCCGTTAGGCTGGATTACGCGCCGTTCCTGCTGGCTAACATTGTGCGGCCTCTGGCGAAGGACGGGCCAGAAGGTGTGTCCGCCGCCCTTGAGGTTATGAAGGACTACCACCTTCTGCGAGAAGATCTGGACTCGCTGGTCGAGCTTACCTCCTGGCCGGGCAAGAAGTCACCTTTGGATTCGGTGGATGGCAGGGTGAAGGCAGCACTAACCCGCACTTACAACAAGGAGGTTATGGCATACTCCTATTCCGCTCAGGCTGGCATCAAAAAGAAAAAGGCGGAGGCTGGCGGCGGAGACGAGGACTACTTGGACGCGGGTCAAGGAGAAGAGGACGCTGCTGGTGGACACGTCTCGTCAGAAGACGATGAAGACAAAGACAACCTCGAGCTGGATGGTCTAATCAAAGCCAAAAAGAAGTCGACCGCTTCCAGTACTTCTAAGGGCGCTGGTGGTTCTAAAAAGTCAGCTTCCACTACCTCAAAACCAAAAGCCAAGGCAAAGAAATAAAGGCTTTTTAGACTTGTATACGTTTTTGCATCCAAAATTGTCAATACGATTTCTTTCTATGGCTCATTTATACTGATGGTCGGCTCTGGCAGTCCGTTGTTCATATTGTTAAAAACATCAACCATATACCAATAAATTGTGTGTTTAAAACTAGTTCGGAAATCCAAAGTTTGTAAAATTTAAAAACCGTTGTTGAGATTATTATATTTTTTTCAAAAGTTCCCACTACATAACTAGAAAATATATATTCATATGCTGAAATCCTAAACTTTTTATTAATGATTTAAATGTAGGTATATTAAAAAAGAAATAATAGAACATCTTTTATTTAAAAAAGAGAGCACTAAAAGATAACTTCAAAATCTCAGTGGGATTTTCCCCGCACAGAAACTTCAGATTTCCTGGCCCCTTTAAAAATTGCATATAGAAATAACATATTCTTCTAAGCATTAATTTTCTGTCTTTATCTTTAATCCAATTTTTTTGGATTATACAGGGCCGGCGGAAGGTGTATACCGGGTGTTGAGCACTCCACACGCCAAATCTTAGCGGGTGTGGAATTCAACACCCCAAAATGCTTGACTTGTAGAAAAAAATTTATTTACATCCATTATTATCAGTTGAATGTATGATTCAAAACTGTTTCTCCGGCCCTGCATATAGAGTATATCGAAGAAAAACGAAGAGAAATCCCGCCTTTACCACGGCCCAATTAAATCAGTTTCTATTTAAATAGGTAGATAGTAACTCTCCCAAATATTTCCCAAGTTAAGCATTTTCCAACTTAATGTAACAACTACTTAAATAATTATGAGATTATCATAAATAAATCTTTTCAGATTGGTACTTACTCAGTTAGCTCCTTGATCTGCACTGCAATCTTTCGTCTTCTTGAAGTAAGATAATCACCGCAACCACTTTATTCGCAACATTAACACTTAACACTTTACCCTGAAATTAAATAAGAAAAAAAAATAATAATAAATAATTTGTAACAAATAATAATAGTTAGAATAAATTTGTTATTAAAAAAGGTATTAGTAAAAAAGGTATTTACCTCTTTGGGTTATTGATTCACTGCATCTTGAAGTACACTCCAAGTAGAAAGTTATAGTCATCACCTGTAATGAAAAGAAGCATTCCAAAATATTAGTTAAATTATTTTATACAAATCGGTTGTTTAAAAAATACATACCCCAATGAGGTGATGCACTGCATTCTGGAGTGGAGTTCAATAGAAGATCACGCCATTCATAATTGATCCTGCAGCCTGTTGTCCAGTCCATTTATGTGGTGTCAGCATACTATATATTTCCGGTAACCGCATTCTTACAACTATTACTATATATATACTATATATATTTATATTATATGTCCCTACTTGTCCCTACCTAATTGTAAACATTATTAATTGTGTTTGATTTTCAAGTACTTTAAGTTCAATATTTTATAAAATTTACCTTTCAAATTTCTTTCATGTTCTTGAAAACTTTCAGATCTTTATGTTTCTTTTAGTTTCTTTGTCAAAATATTTATGATTTTTTAAAATATATAACTTAATTATTTATTGTCTAAAGGATGTACTCACTGCGTAATAACTTTGGTGCAGTGCATCCTGATGTCGAACTTCAAGTTACAAGTTGGATGGTGTCACTGCAATCAGCCAAATACACAACCAAAAACCTGAAAAAAAAAAAAAAAAAAAAATTGAATTAATTAACTGCATTTTTTTTACAAAAGCCACGTCATCACATAATTAAAAAAAACTGCAACTCACCTTTTCAGGTTTGGATGCCCTGCATCCTGGAGTCCACTACATGCAGGAAGGGATCGGGCACCTTTAAGTTCATGCCAAGTCAGGTCATGATGCAGTGCATCCTAGGAGGAGTCGACCCATGGTGCACTGCATCCGGGAGTGGACTCCAGTAGGTGGAGTCGACCCAAGATGCACTGCATCCGGGAGTGGACTCCAGTAGGAGGAGTCGACCCATGGTGCACTGCATCCGGGAGTGGACTCCAGTAGGAGGAGTCGACCCATGATGCACTGCATCCGGGAGTGGACTCCAGTAGGAGGAGTTGGCCAGATACTCTCTCCCACTCTGGAACCACGTCTCTAACACACACGCACACACACACACTTCCAGAGACCGGAAAAAGTTTCTTAGAGAAACTGCCGGTCATCCCGGAGAACTGAGATTGGCCAAAATCAAGGGGTATCCCACTACGAATCAGCCAGAACCACTTGGGAATTATAGGTGCAAGAAAACGAAAAAAATAATTAATTATCATTGTCGCTGACGTGGCCATATTAATTTAATTAACATTTAGTTAACATTACATTTACATTATATTAAATTAACATTATTTTAACATTAAATTAACATTATGTATATTAATATTAAATGGATTTTAATTAACATTTTATATTTAAAATAGTTTTTTTTACCTGTTGCATTTTGATTGATTGGTGTTGTTGTTTTATTAAAATAGCTTTTAAAAAATATATTCTGTTCAATTCAGGATTGAAATTTTGTGAGGTCATCACCCCACTCAAAACTGTTTCTCCGGCCCTGGGATTATATAACATAAGTGTCAACTTATATACCTTTTTAACTAAAAACTTTATTTTTGCACCGAAAATATTACCTTTTTTTTTATTTATTTTAAAAAGCACGTGAAACGTGGATCAGAAAATGTTAAACAACACATAAGTACGAGTTTTTTTTTATAGAATACAAATTCATATTTAAAAAAAAAATTTAAAATAAACTATCAGCATACCGGGGTTAAATTTAAAACGAACTAAGATCTTAATATTCAAACCATAAAAGAAATAAATAAAAATTAGTAAGAAATACATCGACAGAATCCACAACCACGCAAATAATTTGGGTTATTGTTGATTTTTTTTAAATTAATATTATTATTATTTTTTTTCTTAAAATGCAAATAAAAGATATGTATTTATCATATTTTATGATGTTGATGGGTTAGCGCAAGTTTTTGAAAAAAGCGGCATCTTGACAAACTTTGTGTCGCAATTTAAATTTCATATATCGACGAATTTCCGCGAATGTATCGTATGTTAAAAAATCCAATTTTTTTATTTAATCTCTTAGGAGCACTGTAACGTTAGATAAAATTGAATTGTAATTTTTATCGAAACTATGGGGTTTTCAGTTATAATATTTCACAGTGTAGTAAGACATTAGGTGCCTAACAATTTTGCATTAAAAACTCAATCTCGAAAAAAAGCGACATACGATACTTTGGCGGAAATACGCTTATATGTATTTAATTATTTGTTATGGTTTATTTTAAACAGGTAAACCATAATTGCTTTTAAATTTTATTAGAGAAAAACGTTCAACACTCAGGTTTGGGAAACGTTCTTTAAAATCGAAATGGCACTGCCGCACATGCGACAAACTTGTCCCATTTGGTAAAGCGTGCCAAATAAACATAATAATAATAATTTTTTGTATGCTACTTTGACTGCATATTTTAAATACGGACTTCGTAAAAAAAATAGTTTTTAGAAGTGGCTGTATGGCTGTTACCCTTATTAATCTTTTCGTGGCCACCCTGAAGAGAAATACAAAACAATCAAGCAGCTTTGGAAAAGCGCCTCCAGCGGGAACTACCAAATCGTTCAGGTTCATTTCATGTGCCGCTTGGAGAAAGCGCCTCTAGCGGACGAAAAATATTCATCAATCGATATAAACGATATTAAAAAAATAACAGTGGTATTCTAATATATCAAAAAATTAACTTGTAAAATATCGATATATTGGTTCTCTGATATATTTTTCACATCCCCACGAGCTAGTTGTACGATTTTATTTCTCGATTCGAACGGACTGCACGTACTGTGGCAGCGGAAAATGCAGTGAAAATTGCTAGGAAAATTATGGGACAGCATGTGCGGGCACTACAACTAACCGTTTAACTGCAAGTGTGCGCGATCCAATGGATTTTTCGAGTTTATCTGCCGAGTTCAACGTAGTTGTGGATTTTTTCGCACTGAAAAATTCTCGGCTTACGCGTGATAGTGTGTGCAAGTGTGTATCTGTATCTGTGTAAAGGGCGCAGCTTGGCGAAAAACAACACCCAGAAAATGAGAAATTCCAGCCTGGCGAGGCGCTTTTAATTAAATTGAAATTAATTGTAGTTCAAAGCGTCAAATTCAACGGGTTTTCTTTGTTTTTTTGCGCAACTCGCTGCTCTGAAAATTCAATAAGCACGTAAATTCCAGCACACACACATACCACCTTAATCGCGCACGCACACCGATACAACGCTGCTGAGCTGGGTGACAGAGAGAGAGAGAAAAGGAAAAGAAGGCAAGTGTAGACTTTGCTCCAACTCCCCGCCCTCCCCCATTGTTGTTTTCGGGCCAGGCACAAGGACACGCAGCCTCCCAGCTCACGAATACATGCTCGTGCTGGGAAGCCAGGGTTTTTGAGTTTCTGCTTCTTCCTTTTCGGTAAACAGGTGCCGCGCCTTGTGCCGTTACTTTCGTTGGGGCCTTGGATTTTGTGTTTTGGCAACACTTGTTTACCTTTTCAACACTTAGATGAATTAATATATGTAAGAGTGAAGAGTGAGGGTTGAGTGGGAAACGAATGCTGTGAATGAAGGGTTCTACCCTGTTAACATGTTTATATCTCGTACAAGTTTTTATGTCTATATTTCGTTTGAAAACAATTTCTTTTCCAAAATTAAAAATTGAATTAAACGTGGTGATTATTAGTACCTAGATCCATGTTCATACATTTTTCAAGTTAAAATAAATTATAAATCGATCTTAAACATACAGAAAATAAATTTTTTTAAATTAAAAGATACAATTGAACTCTGTTTTCAAAATGTTTCCAAATGTGTCAACAAATAAATTCAACAAAAATGTACAGACATAAAATCGACACATATATGAGCGGAGTTTATTCTTTTTAGTTTTTAAATCATAAAATAAAAGGAAGCAAGAAATAGGTTGAAGGGAAAAGCCGTTTAAGTGTTAATGATATCCCCAAAATTTTAGCAGCTTGTATAACTTTAGCTAATTCCTAGCAGATTTAAACAATATTTTTTGGCATGTGCTTAATTTATTATTGCGTTCAGTTTTAATTTATGGAGCTTGGGATTTACTGCAG